CCTGGCCGAGCCCAGTTGGCGAGCGACTGTGGGCTGAGGTGGGCAGCGCGGCCCGCGTCGGTCGCACCGCCGCCGAGTCTTCTTTGTAGGACCGAGTACGCCCCTGAGCACCAGTCTGGGGAAGTCGCTCGCCCGGGGAGGGAGGACGGCGGGAGGGGCTCGGCGAGTCCTTGGCGCAGGCGGGATTCGAACCGGGGCCGTGGATACCGGTCTCGGCGGCCGTGTCCCCACGCCGAGCAACCTGGGTGCGCTGTCGCCCTGGGCGCGTTCTCGAGATGTCAACTTGTGGGATATCTCGCCCGCCTTGTGGAAGCGCGCCCTGGGCCCGGAGAACCGGGCGAGAGAAACCATGCCCGAGGTTTGCATGGACGCGGCGCCGGAACCTGCTGGCTTTCCAGGGCCCTAGCACTGGGCCCTTCCCGCTCCACCGTAGCGGGCCAGGGGCTGTGCTTAGGACCAGATCTCCCAGCTTCCGTCCCTCGCGCTGCACCTTTACAGGCCGCCTACCATCTATCTGTACTATTTACCAAATGTTAAATGTTTTTCTTAAAACTGATTCTGACACCCCCCCCCCCTTAAATACATTTGTTTAAGGCGGAAACTTCAACCTCAAACCGTATAATGGAAAGCTAGTTATTTTCCTAACGCTCATAAAAAAATAAATACCTGTCTATTAAAATAAACATTGTGTCCTTGTTCCTCCTGAAGTTGTGCGCTCCAGGCTTTGGGAACCGCTGCCCTAGGAGTACGGGGTTAATTGTCGTGTTGTGGCTTTCACTGTATATGGATTTTCCCCCATGCGGCATTCCAGATCCCATTGAAATGCCCTGGGATCTTCGGGATGATAATTCTTGATGTAAAAGGCTGCCATTACTGACTTAGAAGCAGATCCCCAGGAGCTGCAAAAACCATCCCTCAGATACACTGGGTGTGCCTTCTCAGTTTTCTTATAGCGATGTGCTGTGGTAGCCGCCTTGACAGTTCATTGAAGGATGTTTCTGCAAACCCTGATGGGGCTTTTGATAATTGTACATTTACTCTTTTGTGTATCAGTCTGAGTGTGAAAAAGTAACTTTGTATCAACCATTTCAAACAAGGCCCTGGTTTTGACTTGTGGAGATTGGAGATCACTTGACCAGTGGTTAACATGGATGTCTTCCTTTCGGTTTCTTTGTCTCTTCCTTTTAGCTCATCTTTCACCGTTCCTACATTCTTTGGGACTCCTGACACGCATACTCTTAACCTAAACGTAGAGACTGCTTTTCCTTATATGTTGTGCTGGCCAGCCCAGCACATTGCAAAGACTAAACGGCAGGCATTTTTCTAGACATCAGCTGGTCCATGCCCCATTAGTTATCTCTTCATAAATGTGTTATTTATAAAATGTGAGAGCAGATTTACTCTAGTTCCTAAAAGGAAACTCAGAAAAGCCTACTTGGGCCATTCCAGATACCCCACCGGACCAAGGGCTATGCAAGACAAGAAGTCTGTGTTCTTCAGGGCTGACCTTGGTATGAATAGAGTAAAACTAAACATAAGGTCATTCATTGTCCTCAAATTTCTAAGCAGCAATCCTGTGCAAAAAAGAAAGGGGAATTTTACTGTACTCAGGAATCCATTTCAGAACTTAGGCAAATAGAGCATCATCTCCTAGTGCTCCAAGCTAAAAATAAACAGCTTTTGGAAAGGCTTTAGAAGTCCCATGAGCAAAGGTTTGCTATGAAACTTCATTTTAAATAACCATTACAGGCATTCCATGTCTGTGGCCTGCAGATGGCAGTGCCTTTATAAGTTTGTTGCTTCTGTAAGAACTGGAATTCATCTGTGCTTTTAAGATTGAAAAAACCTTTTACAAAAAGGTTGCCTTTGGAATACGCCCTTCAGTTTTCTGTTTTGACTCCCCACATGAAAAATATTGTCTCTACTCCTGAACTCACCATTGGCACTTTGTTGCAGCAAGCAGTGCACGTGGTAAACACCACTCGTCTGCAAGTTGTTTGTGAGATGGGTGCATTGGTGTTATTTGTGTTAGGAATTCCCATTTGCATATATGGGAATGAGAGAGAGCTCAGTGAGTTTGAAGATTTCTTGCCCAAGATCACATATTAAGAATTGTGAGAGAGAAAAGTATTGTCAGAGATAAAAGATCTCATAGGCAAAACTAAGCAATGTTGTGTGGCATCCATAGTCTAGGAGTTCTGAGGCCTCTCGGTATATTAACTGTGTGTGTGTGTGTGTGTGTGTGTGTGTGTGTGTGTGTGTGTGTATGTGTAATATATATGTAATGCCCCAGAGATGATGATAGTCTCATCATCTGTCTTCCTTCTGTCTTCCCATGAACTCCTCCAGTTAAGTGTTCCCCCAAAGAATTGTTCTTTCTACTGCATTGCTTCCTGTATACCTTGTGATTTATGAATGATTACCATGTGTCTTTGAGACTAATACTTTAAAGCTCACTGTCAGCTTTGTGTGTGTGTGTTAAAAGATTTGTCCTATGAACAGCATACATGGTGTGTAGACAATTCTGGTTAGAGATAGTTAAAAGAGCAGTGCCCAACAGAAAATGATCATCTTATTACTCTCATTAATAGAAGCTTTAATGATGAAAGGTAAGGGTAAGGCTGTCTAAAGCAATACCAGGGTGACAATTACCTATTTATGCCTCCAACTTACACAATATAACATACAGTTAGGCTGTCTATTTAGAAGTCTTCCTAAACCCTACTGAAAGAGAAATAACCCTGAAACATAGTGTTAGAAAGAAAAGCTATGACAATGACTAAAACATGGAAACATACAGTCCCTGAAAATAGTCTAAAAAGTATAACCACACTATGACCTCCAAAGGAAACAGGACCGTTCCCACAGGTTCCAGAGGCTTAAGTTAGTAACACACAGTTTTGGGGCTCGCTGGCCCCTGTCATGAAGGGAGTGCAATCTAATGCTTTAATTGACTGAGTTTGTTGTTTTTGAAAGCATGTTAAGTTCATTAGCCCATTCTCTGGCTCATGAAGAGCAAACTCTAATTCTGCAAGCCAGAACTGTCAGTATTGTTTTGCTCCTGGGGTTCTCTTTGAAGTATTTTGTTTTACTACCTAAATGCAAATTTGGGGGGGAAATTACGATGGTTACATACGTACTTTTACATTCACACCACTAAATGTGTGTCAGATCTGAAGTTAAAAAGCAGACATTTGGATCTTGGGAGACATTCCTTGTTAGGAAAAGGCATTCTTCTGAATGTAAGGTAGTAGCTATGGAAAGGTCCACAGACACTCTGAATATTACTCATGTTTCTAGTTTTCAGACTATACTACAACTTAGCAAAAAAAAAAAAAAAAAGCTAAGAAGCAATCTAGTTCACACTGTGAAGCTGAACCATTTTTAGAGTTAAGAGCTTTTGTAAACAAGTGCAAGAATAAAGCAGAAGTTGTCACTATCAGTTCATAATCCTGACTGTGACTAGATTTTCTTTCTGACAGTTGATGTTTGTTATTTCTGTTTGAACAGGTTTAGGGAGACTTGTAAATGGAAGGCCTAACTATGTTATATTGTGTAAGCTGGAGGAATAAATAGCTAACAACAGACTAGTACTTCCCAAATAGTTGAACTAGATTTTAGTTCAATTACTGAATCATGGTCTTAATACTCAGATTCTGTAAACTTAGGACAGGGCCTAGGAATTTGATTTTTAAATGAGC